AAAACAGTCTTCAGCAGTAACTCCACAACTGGGACTGTGCCAAGAAGTACTGTTCCCAATCTAAGGCCTGGCTCCGTGCCATGAAGTAGCTGCTTTTTAGCCAGTTACTCACGAGGGTGAGTCAACAGCATTTGCTTCAATGTAAAGGCAGCAAAAAATGACTTGAGGCACTGCCCCAACTTCTGTAAGGAGAACTAATACAAGTCCCAAAGCACTGTTAACTTCAGTGGTTAGCGTATCTGATCTTCAGATTAAAGCTGCATCTTACCCAACTCCCATTGGCAGAAGACTGCAACATCCCTTTACTTAGATGCCACTTTCACTTCTACAGCACTATTTCTGCATGAACTTCAGCAGTTCCTTTAGAATAGGAAAGCAGAAAGAAACAGATTTTGTTCACGTAGCAGCACCAAGCCGATGCTTACTGAACTTACCAGATGCTTTGAGCACCCGGGTCTAGAGGGAGGTGTCCCTGCCTACAGCAGGGCATTGGAACTAAATGGTCTTAAAGTCAAACCATTCTATGATGCCCACACGTACAATTAAAAAATTAAACAATAAATCAGGATTTCTATTTTTTCTGAGGCCAAAGATAACAGCAGTGAAAAACTGTAACTGGGTTACGTTCAAAGCTTATTCATCATTTGACATCAGGCATTTTAGCTGAAATCAGGAATCTATTGGCTTTTGCAAATTTCAATGAAATGACTAATTTGTGCTGTTGGAAAAGCAGTGTCTTCTAATACATGGCTTTCAATGGGTGGATGGTTGGTTCTTTTGTTTTTTTTTTTTGCTTTCTTTTTCAGTTAAATAGGTTAGCTCTAGAACAAGATCCACAGAAGGAGCAAAACCAGAAGGACAGAGATCTTACCCTTAGTATTCATTGTTTCTTAATTACACAAAGCAGAAGTATTAACAATGTTGCAGTCTGAAGAGGGAGGGTGAGGAGGAAGGAAGGAAAAGGGAGCTGGCAAAAGCAGCGTGCTAAGCCACACTTTCAGAAGTGAACCCTGCAATCTCACAGAAGATCAAACATCTACCAGCATCCTCTCAACCTGGAGGCACTAATAACTGAAGTGAGGTACACCCTCCTGTTCAAGACTAGCTCATTGCAGGTACTGCCACAGGGTACAGAAAAGAACCACCAGCACAAGCAACACTACCTTCAGTCCGTTCTTCAAACTCCAAGATGCACTCTCATTCCTAGAAATACCTGACAGGTGCAGTGGAGAACTGTTTGTGGAAGACATCCTAAGAGGCATTTGGAAACAAGCGAGAAACCTCACATCTTTAAGTCTTCTGCAGTAACTTAAGAACCAGATTAGAACAACGGTTTGCATTTCAGCTAGAGCCACGAGGAGGATGTAACCACCACCATACTGCTGTTTTGAGGCCTTTGCAGCTTTAGCCACTACCTCTTCACCAGCCATAAGCAAGCAGTCATCAAAACTCGATCTCTATTGCTCCATGAAGGGCACAAATCACATTAAGACCCAGACATAGCCCACATGCTGCACTACCAAATACATGTGGAGAAAAATGCTCTAGAAGCAGGTGGAAAGCGCTTCCAGTGAAGGGTTGGTGTCCTGCTTCTCATTACACTAATTTCCTCCCCCTTCCCCAAAAGAGCCTGAAGATAACGCAAGTTACTGATGCGCCAAGGGACCTAGTTTATCAAAGTCAGCACTTTGATCCACATAGTCAGACAAGCCTCATTTAAAAGTTACCCTCCTGGAAAATCTGAGGAACCCAGAGTCACAGCCTGGTATCACACATCCCATGGTCAAAGTTTCTTACATTATTTCATTGATCACATGAAAATCATTACCTCTTCCATTCCTTCTATTATCCAGCATCCCTGCCTTGAAATCACCCTCCAAATGTGAAAGGAACATGAACTTTGTTCTCATGGTGTATGGGGGGACTAAAGTTGCCAACCTATTTCTTTATTCATAAAGAAAAGGGTTTCCAGAACCATTTGGACTATGATTCCTAAGGAGCAATTCAACATCAGTTCTCTCAGTTACAAGATAATTCAGCCATCAACGCAAGAATAAAACCTGTTGGTGTACCTTTAAATAAAGCATTTCATGCACACTGTTTGACAAATCATACCATTTCTTCACTGAAGAGTCACTTCCATTTCCAAGACCAGTCACCAAATCAAGAGCTGAGAAGAGCTCAGACCACATCTGTTCCTACTTGGATGGCAGACCATTCAACATTTTCACTGCTTGGCACGAGATGCAATCTCTCACACCTTACCACAGCTACTGACAAGGTACGCTGATTAAATAATTAGTAATATAGACGTATATATTCATACATTTTTATGTATACAGATGTGCACAAGAACATACACATTTGATATATATCTCTCAACATGATTTTGGATGCTCCTACTCTCATGATGTTTAAGTCCTTATCAAACCACAGCCTAAAATAGTGCCTTATCTAATTTTTTGAGGCACTCTTCATAGGAAAGGAGTAATTATGGATTCAGTGTTGGCGATTTCATCAGCAATCAGCAGTATTTTGTAATGCTAGCACAGGTATTTCTACAAGAGCAAATACATTTCACTTTGAAAAGCTGTGCCATACCAGCAATCAAAAAAAACTTTTGAAAAAAAACCTGTTAGTGGTATGACTAACAGCAGCCACTCCACCCAGTGCATCCACCCTTGCTAAATCCAAATACTCCAGATGACAAGCAACCTTTCCATACTACTTGCCAACAGTTGCTTCAGCTTAGCTGCCTTCCCAGAACTGAAAAAGCATCACCAAAGTTCAAATTCAAGGACCGAAAGATGTTGAAAGATGCAAGCAGACACCATAGTATTAGTAGCTAAGAAATTACCATTCAAAGATGAAGGAATCAAAAGCTCTTTGTGGCTTAGCTTTAGGAAACCCATCCTTTGTAGTGCCTGCACATTATAAGTTTCAACCTCTGCTGCTGACTCATGGGGCAGAGCAGCAGTAGGTAGATGGAGGAGGAAAGAAGCAGAGCAGAACGTAACTGCATGGCGCTCAGACAGTAAAAGCACAGAGGCTTGCGGCAGGTAACTGTCATCTCCTAGCAAGAGACACACCTTAGCCAGCAGGGTGGAACTGGGCAGGCATGCTCATCTGGAGGCTTCTGTCTTCACTTCCTGCAGCCTTCCAGGCAAGGAGGATGAAGCTGCCAACCAGGCTGTGGCTGTTAATAGAGGAAACGGACTAGAACGTGGGGGAGACGACAGCTATAGGGCAGGAGAAGCTCACCTTCCCTACACGAGAGGTTTGTGCTAGCACTGCTGCACACCATTAGACACAACTAGAATAATTTCAGTATAACCACTGTTTAATATGGCTTGCCAATTTACCATCCAGAGGCGTTGAACCACCCCAGAGAAACACACACAAGCTCCTTGTTAGGATGGCACAGCATGGGGATTTTACTCATAACCTCCCAGATACGGATCCTAAGGGGAGAAGGACAGAGGCAGATTAAGAAGCCTGAAGAATAAGCTTTATGCTCAGGTCTCAAGAAGCTGGTTCCAAAGAAAATCCAAAGAAGATTGAGCAGAATCACAATAGGATTAGTATCAACACCCAAATTTCAGTGCCAATCTTTTCACAGGAAACGAGAATCAGTGCCCTACACAAGTTGCACCATTTTCACAAAGGTGAAGCTTTTGCAAATTAAATATAGGCATAACTGTAGAAACAGTTTCTTTGGAAGATGGGGATTATTAAAAGCACCAAGAAATCCACTCAATCCATTCAATGAATGCATTTCCAAGTTATTTTCAAGCAACAGTAACTCATTTTAAAGAAGGCCTCTAACTTGTAGTTAGAAACTAATCTAGGTGGCAGCATGCAAGGAAGCACATACGTAGTTTCAGCACAATCCAAAGCAGCACCCTTGTACCAGAACACTTAGCAAGATGCAAATTCTGTTACTTCCAAACCAGTCATCTTTAAACTCTGGTCTCCTAACCCAATTCAGGGTTAAATCAAAAACTGTTTATTTCTTTACTCGCTTCCTTTCTCATGCTTGCAGTACTAGACATCAAAAATACACAGCTTAACCACTAAGACTACGTGCCACACCATTATCACTGCACTACACACACACAGCTTCCTGCAGCCAGAATACCCTGATCACACAGAACAGGTTCACATACTTTTCATGCTGCTGGCATAGGTCTGTGGAGCTCCTGCTGCACTGCTATGCTGCTTCACTAACAAAAGCATCTGGAATTCTGCTCCTGGCATGGAGATATATTTATTCCTGGGCCTTGAAACACTCTCAGGTGCACGATACCTGTCATAGAATATCCTGTTTCCAAACCTCAGTTGATCATTAGTCCAAAACTACTGCAAATTTGTTTTGAACAGACCCCAGTAAGTCAACTTGAGTCTGACAAAGCCAGTTTCTACCTCTTTCTTTCCAACTTTTAAGGAAGATGTCTTACTTAATAAAATCATACCTTATTATCTGAGAAAAAAAATCTAAAAATGTCTCTTGAAGGCCTCTGTTTTTCCTCGTGTGAAGCAGCACATTAAACGAACACCATTAATTTAAATGCATTTAACAAGTTACAAGCTCCAACCTTAAGAAATAAAGGGCTTTCATTTTCTTTTCAGTTTATCTTATGAAGATGAGCTTACTAACCACAGCACCAACAGGCATGAGCCTAAATTCTCTGTATCTTTGTGCTCACACAGTACTACCTGTGTGTAGTACTGCACACAGGTCACCCCATCAGACACGCATCTCAAATACAGCTGAGCACATCTCAATTACCTCTGCACATACAGCAGCCACAGCAGAGCGCAGATGGTTTTCTGCCTCACAGTAACCGACACGGCAGCTGCAAAAGTTACTGCACTGACTCCTCCCACCCCAGCATAATACTTCACATAATCCCCAGCCAATTTCCCACCTTTACTCCTCAAAACAGCAGCATACTGCTTCTCTCTCGATAAAACACAGAAAAAGCAAAGCCCCCACTCACCAGCACGGTGGTGCAGATGGACCTGAGCTCAGACTCCACCTTCTCCCTATAGTCCTTGATAAGCTGCATCTTCTTGTCGCTGGTGTCTGTCTTTTGCTCGATGCTGGAGATAACCCTCCAGGCAGAGCGTCGCCCCCCCACCACATTCTTGTAGGCCACGGAGAGCAGGTTGCGCTCCTCGTTGGACAGCTCGGCCCCCTGCTCTGTCACCGCCTTCATGCAGGTGGCCATGTCGTCGTAGCGCTCGGCCTGCTCCGCCAGCTTGGCTTTCTGGATCAACTCGGTCTTATCCATGGTGGCCGGCGGCGGGGCGAGGGCAGTGTCGTAGCAAAGGCAGGAGAAGCTGGGGACGTCACGCTGCCAGCGAGAGAACGCGCCTCAGAGCCTGCCGGGAGAAGGACGGCGACCGTGACTCCAGGAGCGGCGCTTTAGACCGCGTCCCCGCAGCCCGCTTACCGGGGCCGCAGAAGCTCCCCATCCCCACGTGCGTCCCGCGGCGCGGCGCTGGCGCCCACACACCCTCCCTCCCTTCGGCGGGGACAGGCGCCGGTCCCGGATCCCGCCCCGGGGAAACGACAGCCCGGAGACCCAGCCAGGGCCGGGACGCAGCTCCGGCCGAGGAGCCGGGAAGACGTCCCGCCGTACGGAGCGGCTCGTCGTCCTCCCCCCGCGCCAACACACCGAAGCGCTGCTGAACGCGAGGACGCGCAGGAGGACAGCCGGCTCCCAGCGAGCCCCTTCCCGCGTGCCCGCACCCCGCAGGGGAGGGCCGAAGGAAGGCGGGACGCGGAAAGAGATACTTCAAAAGAAAGCGAGCGGCGCGGTGCGCTCGGCCCCGGGGCCGCAGCCCAGCGGGGCGGGAGGCGATGCCGGGGCCGGGCGGGGCCCCGCGGGCAGCACGGGCCGCTTCGCCTCCTGGCGGCGGGGCGCGGCGGGACCGACCCTCCCCCCGGCGGGAGTGGCCCCGGCCCCGGGACGGACGGACGCCCTCCGTGCCCGGCCGGGAGCGCCGCGGCCGTCGCCGGGCGGGGTCGGGGCCAGGGCGAGGGCGGGGGTCCGACGGCTCCGGCTCCGCGGCGGCCGCGTCTCCGGGGACGGCGGGGCGGGGGACGGCGGGGCGGGGGGCGGCGGCGGAGCGGGGCGGCCGGGGCCGGGCGTGGAGGGGAAAAGCCCCGGCGGGTGCGAAATGGCGGCGGCGCCGCCCGGCGGCTCCTTCCGCCGCCCGCGACCGCCGACCGCTCCGCGCCGCGCTCACAAAATGGAGGACGCGGCGCCGAGGCGAGGCGGGGCCCGGCGGCCGCCGGCGGGACGCGGCGCCGCGCTCACCTGAGTCCGCTGCGCTAGGCCGGGCCGCGGGCGGCACCCGATCGGCTGCGCCTCGCTCGGGGCTGTGGCGGAGAGAAAGAGCCGCTCCCGTCGCGGGCGAGAGCCAGCGCTAAAGGGCGTTGGCACAGGCAAGCCTACCCGCTGCTCAGCCCGCGCCCACGCGGCCAATCGCGGCCTCTCCTGCGAGCTCGGCCCCGCCCCTCCGCGCCCCGGCAGCCAATCCGAGGGCAGCGCGCCGCCGCGGGGGCGAGCGCAGGCAGGGCACAAGCTCGGTTGGCCCGTGGGCTGCGGCTGGGGCCACGGGGTTTCCTCCAATTAGATCCAGGGTGAGATGACGTCACTGTCGCCATGGCGATACTGCTACAACCCCCCCTCCCCCCCTGCCGCCCCTCCGCTCCCCCCCGCCCTCCCCCAGCAGCCCGAGCCCAGCCGCGGCGCGGGAGCGGGCGGGGGCGGCGAGCGGGGGCGCGGCCCGTGCGGGGGTCTCCGTGCCGGGAGGGGGGGCCGGGCCTCGCCGCCCTCTGCGCTGTGGCGCCGGAGGGCTGCGCGGGGCGGGCTCGGTGCGAGGGGCCGAGGCCGAGGGGCCGGGGGCGGGTGCGGGTGCGGGTGCCGTGCCGGAGGTGCCTCCAACAAAGGGCGGCTGCGGGAGGACGAAGTGCGTGGTCCCGAGGCCGGGCCGGAGGCGGGCTGCCCGGCGCCCTCACGGCGCATTCGCCCCGCGCGGGAATGCCGCCTTTGTGTCGGCGGCCGCCGGGCGGCCGTGCGTTTCCCAGCGAGAGATTGGCGAGAGCCGCTGGCAGATGCCCGCGGCCGAGCCGAGCCCCGGGAGCCCGGTGACAGGAAATCGCTCGCGAAGAGTTAATGGCGCTGTGCCGTGGGGCCCCGGGCAGGGAGAGGCCGGCGCTTCCAGCGGCAGCGATCGATACATTTACTTTTTCCCCCCGTCCCGATTTCACCTGGAGTTAATCTGCAGGAGGTCGTAGATGCGGTGCACAGGCAGAATTTCAGGCTCGCACTGTTAGTACGCACAAATAATACAGTAATGCCCATCCGTCGTGAGCCTGCCGTTGTGTGCATCCCCCAAAGCTGCCCGGGTCCCAGAGGGAATGCTGGCAGGAGAGCGGCCCTGTGCCCGTGTCACTGTGCTCAGGAGGGCTCCGAAGCCCTTTGGTCCGTCAGGCCTCGGGCTCATACATCCCTTCAAAAGCACGCCGTGTCCATGTGAAGCGGTGAAATCCCTCACCTTTGCTTTCAGCATCGCCAAATTTAGTCATGTCCAGCAACTCCAGCATCCTGACAGGATGATGAATGCTCTGAATCACCTCAGGATGTTGTCGTCTCAGCTCCTGTCTGTGTTTGGATAGGGCTGCGACGATGCACGTGGGCATGAGGTCTGTGCTGTGAACCAGCGCTGTTGGTCATTTGAGTGGGGGATGCATTTATTCTTTTATAAAAGAGAGCCTATTGATAATACTCCTTGTGAAGTTAAGGAAACTCTTTCAGAAAGAAATGGAAATGTATTACTCGCTCTCAGAAATAACTGTCCTGGCAGTTCCCTACGGTTTTAGTTTGCATTTTTGTTCTTTCTTGACAGTAGGATATTCTCTTGTTTTCACCAGGTCCCAAGTCATCATCTCAATTTACATGTGAAGGAACAACCAAAATTAACCAATTGTGCTACAATACCTATGATTAATATCTTGTCTCCATCAGAGACAAAACTAACTGTTTCACCTGTAAGGCACAGAGCGTGGATTTTACTTAAGGAAGGATAGCTGATCTAATCAAGGCTACCTCCCTCACTGATTCCCCTCAAAAACTGGAATGGTGTTACAATTAGTCTCTCACACAAAATAGCTCATACCTCCTTCCCACTTACTGAGAACTTGCATGAAGAGTGGAGATTTAGATTGGGAATAAGGAAAAAGGTTTTTATAGAATAAGGGGAGTGAGTCACTGGCACAGGTTGTCCAGAGAGGTGGAGGATGCCCCATCCCTGGAGATGCTCAAGCTCAGACTGGTTGGGGCTCTGAGCACCTGATGGAGCCGTGGGTGTCCCTATTCACTGCAGGGGAGCTGGGCTACATGACCTTTAAGGGTCCCTTCCAACTGAAATGATTTTATGACTAAGAGCTGCAGAACTGTCTTATAAGTCTGGAAGTGCTGGTCACAGCAGGGCTGTGTGCAGAGAGCTGTGTGATGAGCCAGGATATAACTGCACATGCTGTGCAGTCGCTGTGTCTACAGGTCAGCGGCATGGCCTGAGTAGCTGATTCCAGAGCTGTGCTACAGCTTCTGCCAGGCATCTGTTCTGTGGGCTTTTGAGCACCATATGGTTTTAAAAATCATAGACATAATCTTGTTTCCCCATTGGAACCCTATCTTGAAGTAAGAATTACGACCTTTTACGAGAAGAGGCTGGAAGAAGTTGTTGTGTTTAGATTAAAAGAAGTTATGAGAAGATTTGGCGCCTGAAAGGAGGGCAAGCATTGGTAGGTTATTGTATTGGTAGAGTACCGTTATTTAAATGTAAGGCAAATGTGTATAAAATGGGCACTGATGAAGTTACACTGTGAATTAAATGATTTGGTATTTTCAGAGCAATGAGACTGCGGAGCAGCTTTCCTGCACTGAGAACTGCAAGCCCATCCGCTTTGAAATCGAGTCCTGATCAATCGATAAAAGTGCTTATGTGATAAAATTGCCTGAGATAGCAGGAGACTAAACTCCAGAAGCTTTCCAATTCCTTGTTTCTATTTAATGTTGCTTTTAATGCTTATTCCATGTATAATTTAATGCACGGTTTACTGCACAGCACTATCATCCATTAAATAAAAATATTAATTTCCTTTAGAGCATTTTAGAAATGCTGTCATCCTGCTAAACATTAACAATGTTATCTGTGTAACACCATTATGAAATGGATGGCATTATCTTTTCCTATGTCCAGGAAATGAAAAATAACACCTCTAGATACCTGTGTTGTGAAATATAAGGATTCCTTTTGCAGTGTGTTGGACAATCAAAGACTTACATTTCAACTTTCTAATGCTTCCATGTATTGCGAGTCCACTTCTCCCTGACTTTAGATGTGCCTATGGATGTTCAGCATCTTAGCAGCTCACATAACAAATTGCTCAACTGAGGTGGGGAAGAAAATGAGGAATACACATGACACAGATTCCTTAGACTTGCATGTGAATTTGAGGATGGAGTTAGAATTCAGCTTTCTAGAGGTTTAATCATTGTCCATAACTTTAAGGCTGCTTTCCCTTTCTGTATCTCTCCTTTTGCTCAGTTCTTGCCCATATTCTCGCCAGTCCTGCCCTCCTTTCTGTAATTCTTTACCCACTTCTACTCGCTGGCCTTTTCTTTTTCTCAGCTCCCAAGAAAACTTGTGAGTGGAGGACAGGACTTGCTTAGGAGGACTGAACATTTAGTAGTCTTATGTGAGAGCTGGACTATGGAGGCTTGAGAAAATTTACTGGCAAATTTTAAGACGTTTCCTGAGCATACTCAAATTGAGGTTTTTTGTTAAGTTTACCACATTTGGGTAGTTTTCCATAAAGCCTGCAAAAGACTTGACCTCAACTGGCCAACTTCTTGCTAAGTTATAAGGAGTCACTCTAGTGGTTGTATATGGTTTGGAGACTTGGGAACAAAGGAATAAGGCGAAGGTCTTTTGTTACACTATTGTATTTTGTGTTCACATTGTAAAGGTGCTGGAGATTGGCAAAAGTGCTTTTCATGTTAAACCTACATTAAAGATAAAAAGACACCCATCTAAGAGGCAAAAGCATCACCATCGTCCAGTAAGTAAAACATAACTGTGAGCTTCTGGGACCAAGCTCTTTAGACTTTATTCAACCTGACTCCACATTGTATCTGCATTGTGCTGTGAGGAAGGCCACAGGACTTCCTACGTTTTGAAAATACTTGCAGGGTTCGTTCATTACCGTGTTAAACAAGTCACTTCAGGGAGGGCAAGCCTCTAAAGGAAGTTGTTGAGTGTGTAGCTTATAATGGGTGCAGTTTTTCTGCAAACTATGTCCTCATGGGAGAAGAGAAATCACAACATGTCTGGGTTAGGAAGAAGAGTGTCAGTGTGGGGTGGTGGCATTGAATTTCACTTCTGCTGCTGAGCACCATTTGTCTGATTTAGCTTGCTGCATGATAAGTGTATCTGTGCTGAGAGTCATTTGTCTTTGCTGCTGAAGGATGATGCTGATGGTTATTGATACCTGCTGCTGGGGTAAATGCTGTTGTAGCCTGATAGACTGGAGCAGCTATTGATCACAGTTGTAGTAAAATCTCAGTATTTGACACTTGCTTTTTCCAACCATTGCAGTTGTTAATGTTAAATTCCACTTCTCTCTCTGGATGTGAAATTACTATCACGTTATCGCATATAACTGTGTTCCTCTGCATCTTTTCCTTCTGCATTGTGTGGTACAGAGGAGTGGAAGAAGCTCTGGGGAGTGCAGTCAAATCTCTTATCCAAGTGAGCTGCCTACCTCTCTGCTGCAGGCCTGGGAGGATGCTGGCTGAACATAGAGCAGTTCCTCTCTTCGTGCTGTTTGGATAAGAACAGAAGCCTGGCAGTGCTGGCCCCAAGCAGGTCCAAGGAACCTCTTGCAAAGTGGCTCTTAAGCCCTAGGGCCAATCTAGGCTGCAGCTGCCAGGAGAGGGCTGTGAAGGAGTCTCAGTGGAGATTCCTCTCCAGAAATGCCATGCATGGGTCTAGCGAGGCCTAGGGACAAAACTTTTGCAGATATCCCTCTTTTTGTTTTGCCTGTCCCTGTCCCAAACTTGTGAGGGAGAGAGCAGAGGAGCCAGCTGGGGCTAAATGACATCCATGAAAGTTGAGGTGTGTCTTTTTTTTTTTTATGGAAATGAAACAAACAGTGTTGTAATGGATTCTGTTCAGTTAAACGCAACTTGCTCTGCCAAAACATAATAAAGAGCCTGCTTTTGCATGAACAAACAGGAGTGGCAGAAGTCACACAGACTGCCAAGTAAATGTTATCCTCCTGAAGCTTCTCCTATTGGGAGCTAACAATAGGGCCCCTAGAATTAAGATAAATGCAGCTAATTTCCCCGTAATGGTGATTTGATTATTCTTTCTTTACAAGTAACTAGTTCCCTTTTCTAATTATATAGCTTGCTTTTATCCAAGAAAAATTACCCAATTTACGAGAGTGAACCATTAAAGTCACTCATCTGTGAAGAGCTTATTGTAGTGCCAGCTTCAGAAAACATCTATATTGCAAGGGATACGTATAGATTTTTGTATCTTCTGCTGTTTTGCTAACGGTCATGACAAATGAGAAAGCAGACAGCAGGAATGGATGTGCAAGGCAGAAATGAAACACACGGGGCTGGGAGCATAGACCCTTACACCCATGTAGCATGTCTCTAAAGCAGTGACAAGTCTTGGAGGGAAAGGGGGTACTGAGGAACAAGACAGAAATGTGTAATGTTATGCTGGTACTTGGTTACCCTGCACATAGCAGGGAGGTTGAAACTAGACGACCATTATGGTCCTTTTCAATCCAGGCCATTCTATGATTCTGTGATTCTTTCTCTGACAGCTGCTCTAGGGCATGCTCTCCAAAGGGGAGATGTGACTTCACCCAACCCGACTGCGCAGCAGGATGTGTAGCTAGGAGCATGGTGAGTGTGTGAGAGAGCCTTGGGTTCCGTTGGTAGGCTGCTGCTGGCTGCTCTGATTAGTCTGGTTATCCAAAATCGTGTAGCTAGGGATTTAAGCAACATAGCTGGTGCAGAGATGTACACCCTCCTACTAATGATCTTATTAAACCAATGAACAGTTGGAAAATGTAGACAAGAATTTGATGCAAAAGCATCCATTCTCTGTATAAGTAAAACATAATCCTTTGCTCCATGATATTATCATATTAATGGTGATAGATATTTGAAGGTCAAGGATTTGTCTGAATAGGGAAGCTGACTGTTAAAGAAATCAAAAAAAGCATCTCTACATTTAGGTAAGCTGGGGTAATTCCCCATGTGAAAACTGTTCTAGAAAAAAAGCCACTTTTATTCTGAAATGCTTCTGCTAAGGGATCAATAACAGCAGAACTGCAATTGCCAGATTATTCTCAGTGTTGGCAAACCATAACAACAAAGGATATAACGGAGAGCACAGAAGAGATGGGGTAGAAAAGAAGGTAGAGAAGCAATGCCTGTGGGACAACTATCCAGACTCCTGTGAACTCTGCAAGCCAAAATAAAGGTTGAAGAAAGAATCAGAAAAGAAGTTTGTTTCAAGGTAAGATATTCTTTTCAAATTCTGTTTTGAAGTGTTCTTGTGTTAGCTTCCCATGACAATAGGATGTGTGCATACTAAACTTTTTCTTACAATCTGTAATGGAAGGAGTCTTGGTTATGAATTTATTTAGGACTCAGTACAGCCTTCTTTGTATGCAGATCAGAAATCTGACAAAGCATGTTAGGTCTCTACCTAGTTGTGATTACATGCCCAGTACACAGTAGTGATTTATATGCAGAATGAAATAGTTTTTTAGTTGAAGAAGGGGATGACATATGCATATATTTGTGTGTGCATATATGCATATTTTAGGCTTAATGCTCTTTGACAAGCCAAGAACAGGACACTATGTCTGAGCTTCTCGTAGTGTTTAGCATACGTTTGCTTCACTGAAATATTTTATCACGGTCATATACTGTGATTATAAGCAAGCTGCTTAATGATGACCCGTGCTAATGCAAATTGTATCACTTAACTACTTGCATTAATATTGTGGGAATACCCGGAATGAGCATCCATGGAGCTCCAAGCAAGAGAAAAGCTTGAGACTTGTGAAAGAGGTCTCTAGGCAATGAGTTGCCTCCTACATTAGTAGGATGAGCTTACCAATGGGAAGTTTTCCCTTCTGGAGAAATCTAAGTGAGAGATACTCCTTCTACCCTCTTCTTCACATTCTGGTGCTAATGAGAGAGTAAAGCTTTCTGTTGAGGTAAACAGCTATGCCTACAATATGTAGCCCCAGAACATCAAGGTAGCACACCATGGTTTGCTGTGTTAGGTAATGCTGTTTCTGTAGTGGGAGATACTTCTGAATAGAGAGAGTCAAATGTGGGACTCATCCATGGATGAGCACATGAGGAGTTTAGTGTGAGGGTACTACATGTTCACTATGGCCAACAGGGATACTGGAAGGAGTTTTTACATCTAATTTCCGTGTACTTAAACACTGGAGACTTTCAAACAGAATACACAACTGTAATTAAATTCCAATATTTATTTCATTCTGTTTCTTTATAGGATTCCTCCTAGTGCAGCTAAATTGTTCTTGTTCTCAAATTATTCTTGTTTGTGTAACTTTCAGTAAAGTGTTTTTCAGCAGTTAACACTTACTGATACACAGCTAGTATGCTCCCTCCTTGTTCTTACCAACAGGGAATTCTGTGAATTGGTTTAATTTATGTAAGTTTGAGCGCCGTGTTTTTTATGAAACTGCCTATGCTTAGAAGTTATGCATGGATCATCAAAATGTAAGACAATTAAGAGGAAAGCTTTAGTATAAAAGATTACGTTAACTATATCAAGTGCTCCATAAATCTGTTTTTCTAACATCATAGCAATCTTAGCTACTTTATTCAAAACTTTTCAAGTTTGATATTTTTTATTTCATTGGTTAATTTTAAATATAGAGTGATTTTCTTGTCTTTTCCTTATCTCCAGCATAAGAAACGTCTCAAAGCAGAAGTTTTATTGATCGTTACTTTTCCAGCAGCCCCTCCTTGTATTTCAGCAGATAATGCTGGATCAGAGCCAGAGCTGTTCCCTGGCTTCATTCCAAACATTTCCCTGAAAATGAATACACAAAATGCCCATCCTTCCTATACTGTGGAATCACTGTGCATAATACAGAAGAAATGTCTGGTTTTATAATGTGATGCCAAAAACGAAGCCTTCATTACTCCTTGTGAATAGGTATTTCTTCTTAGTGTGCATAACTTGAAAAATATGTTGTTGCTGTTATTGTGGCTGCCATATTATTCCATACTGGAGTCTGTTATATATTATAAATACGAAATACTGTATGAGAAGTGAACCTTGACAAACATTTTCCTAGAACATGTCTGAAACGACCTTTCTGGGAACAAATGAATAAAATTCATCCTTCTCAAAGCAACGGTCAATTTGTTCTTAAAAGCCATCAAAATCTGTGGTTTGTACACATATTTCGTCCAGTGAAAAAGCATAATTTTCCTTTTTTCTTTTAGATGGAAAATGGCAATCAGTTATACCTCTCAAGCCTGGAAGGCCTTTCTGCTTGAAATACTCTTTGAGTCTGGGTCGTGACACAAAGTGCTGCGTGCTGGCGTTGGTGTAGTAATGGACTTTCTTTTTTGACCAGCACCCTGTTGTATTCAGGTTTTTAAACTGTAAGGTAGTTAAACCATTTTAAACAGCTCATCCTGATTCCAAATATTTTTGTAAGAAAATAGTCCTTTGTTGAAGTTGACTAGATTGGCAGGTAGCCATCAGTGAGGCAGAAAAATGTTACGTCCATAGGAGAGTATTGTAAATGTCTCTGCTAGGTAACTGCACAGGTAACATGCAGGCATGCTGGCAGCAGTCCATGTAGACATGAAGTGAAATAACAAAGACTTCCCCTGACCAGCAGTTGTTTGAGAAGTAATTAGTTCTCCAGTTTCATAAGTTTACAAAGGAGCTAAGAACCCATTTTGGAGTCTTAAGGAACAATTGCATGGAATAATTAGAATTACTGCATCAAATTTTTGCTGAATATGTATTAATTCTTACAGATTAATAGGATGATGTATCCTGGAATATAAATGCTGTTTTCCAAGATTTTGCTAGGACATTCCCCAAAATGACATGTGAGTTTCTCCCTTGTAGGTATAGTTCCAAGTTCCTGAATTTTGACCATGGAGGCCCTAGGATCTCTTTGTTGCCTGCAGAAGGCATTTCCAGAGGATAATTCTTCCCATCCTACTAAAACTCTGGAAATGTCTCTTTCCAGATCCTTTAGCACTCCTGCACTCCTGCACTCCTAACAAGATGAAACTGGCTGAACATAAGCCAAAGGCTAGGAATATGATAGCAGTTTGATACATATTCATTATGGCTGAAGTTTCCTCCTAATGGACCAATACAAAGACTATATACTAATTGAGTGCAGGCTAAGTTCACTCAGGAGGTGCCCAAGTGGTGATCAGGCCCTCACTGACACTATATGTAGGGCTGAATTTCACATTGTTTAAAGCATCATTTGTCAGGGCCTTGATTTCTCTAGATTTTCTCCTTTTATATCACACATACTTTCATTCAAAATCATACTTCTTTCAGGTGGAGAGGAATATTCTGCATTGCTGATGCAACTGACTTTATGATTATTAGCACACAGCAGTTTAATAGGTTTGAGCAAACAGTAGTTGCAGGCCCAATAGATACAATGATTGTCATCAGGAGTCATTCAGTGCTTTCCTTTTACAGGGCACAAACTCCCTGTGACTCACACTAACAGGATAAGGTCAGATTTTCATGTGGCGTAAATCAGGAAAACGTTGCCTGTGGTAATGTGTGTGTTTTCTGTATTAAATTAATTAAAGATTTTTTTCTTGTATGCTCCTTGTAAGATTTATGTAATCTGAGTCAGTCCAACCCTGCATCTGAAATTCTTCTATTGTACCTCTCTGGACACTTTCTGTTTCACATGAATCTCTGTGATGGGAAACTTGGAACAGAACACCAACTGCAAGGTGAGACTGTATTGATTTAGACAGTGGTTTAATGCTTTCTTTTTTTCTCTGTCCAATACTTTCTCATACTTTGTCAGCTCTTTAGAGTGTTTCTGAACATTGTGCAAATGTTCTTATTTTGCTGACCACATCAATACTCAAATGATTTTTTCCAAGGCTGTATTTGATAACATGGAGTTTCCTCCTTTTTTGTGTTGCCCATTCAACCAGTGTCTGTTAGATCTGTATGCAGTTTTTCACAGCCTTATCTCAGACTTTTGTTTTGACTGTCAAATAACATCATGTCACTTGCAAATTCACCCTGCTCACTCACTTTTCCAGATCATTAGTCGAGACATTGAGCAGCAGTCTGCATCTTTAGGCACTATGCAGTTAATCTTTGGCCCCAGTGAAAGTAAAGCACATATTCCCACTTTTCTGTCTGCATCGGTGACAACAGCAGACATTAATATAGCTGATAAGGCAACTAAAAAAATCTTTTCCTGTAGATCATAGCATTGGGTGAAGTTTGAACTAGTTTGGATAAAAGATCACCCTGTGAGCAGCTGTGTTGGCCTCAGAATCTCAGAGTGGTTCCAAGAAACCTGTAGGGGTTGCAGGAGTGGAGCCCACAGGTGAGTGTTTCCTCCTGCACACAGAATCATGCAGTTACTGTATCTGTAATCTAACCACCAAGGTGCCACCAGTGGGCAGCTGAAGTCTTGAATGGGAGGTGAAGCGTGCGCTAAAGTGATAGGTGCATGTTCTGTTCTCTGAAGTATGCACAAGCCTCCCTGATGCACTGTAGACTGTACAAAGTGGACCAGCCTGTGATGGGATCAATGGTATTTTGTGCCATTTTTTCCTTTCTCCTGCCAGTCTTTCTGGCTGTTACCAGAAAGGGATATTTCTGCACATTGCTTGTCATTACTGTGGTTCATTCGACAAGCATGGAGGAGTATGGAAGTCTCACAATCCCTAGAAATTCAGCTCTTTTTTTGGATAATGTTATATTTCCAGAGATTCAACCTAGGATGACTAAGACTTGGCATCTCTCACATTCCCAAATGATTGCCTAGCCCCATGTCAGATGTGGGCCTTCTACTGTTCTTGTGCTGCTGAAATATCAATGCTGTTCCATTGCAGAAGAGCTACTTAATGCCCATGTTTAAGCATAAGAGCCTCATGTGAGACACTCCCTTCTTTAATTCAGGTCATCCCTTAGATGTTCACAAACAGGTTGTGGAAGGTATGGGTTGAGGTGTGAGGAAAAATGTGTGAGTGCATGGGGCAAATGGGATCAGATATCAATATATCAGGATACAATTCCCTGCTGAGAAACTGGAGAAAAAAAGAGTTGTTTCAGTAGTTGGAACTAGATGGGTATGTCTAGTCCAATTTGGCAAGGAAGATCCACTTTTCAACACTTCACTAAGGCAGCTTCTGCAGGAGCCATTCCGGCAGGCCTCTCTCCTGTCAGGTTTGTCATTAATTACAAACAGTAGAATTATGCTCTGGATGCCTTTGGGAAGGCAGTAAGAGGGATACTGGAAAGCCCTGTGCTGGCTCAGCGAAGCACAAGAGGAAATTCTGTGCACATGTCCAGGTGGGGGCAATGCCTGGTTGACAGCTTCTGCTTCAAATGCCACAACTAAACCTTGTGATTCACTCAGACTGCTCTGCAAGTGTAGTCTAAACCTGTATGCTATTCTGCATCTCCTTCCTTCTCTCTGCCAAAGCAGCCACAGCATTTGTTGAACTTGAACTTGTTTTTTTCAACAAAAAATGCTTGGCATCTTAGAGCATCCCAAAGAGACCTCAGTAGGACTTTCACTGCTGACACATTCACTTTATTACTGGTAAAAATGAATCTTCTTATATCTCCTGGCATCACACTTTGGTTTCTCAGCCTTCCATTACATAGTAAGGAATTTTAACATCATTCTTAGCTTATCAGGTGCTCCTATTTTGCTGTTAAATTATGGCCTTCACAAGGCCAATGATAGCAGAAATTCTGGTGTTAATCACTAAGTACATGCCCTTATACTTCATGATCTTCAGTTTTATCCTGCTTGCGTTACTTTTAGCCCATCCGTTTAAAAAAAATTGATCTTCCTTTGCAATGACAGAGACTTAGAATGTAATGTGCCCTGGTTTCACTAGTATGTTTTCATTTTCTTGTGCCAAGGTCATTAATGAAAGTATTAAGGAAGATCTGTTCCAAGGTCCCAAGCTTGAAGAAGACCTAATTAGGTGTGCAGACTGTGTTTTGAAGATAAACAAGGGATGCAGCACAAATCCTGCCAAGCAGCCTAATCCCAGTGACTTCTGTAGTTATTCAAAAGCTTCTGCTTCACTTCAGTCTTTTGTTCTGCACATAGATAGCAAAATAGTGCCTTGTCCTAAGGCCTGAGTAACTTATTAAGGACAATGATTTGGAAGAAGCATGTTTAGACAGATAATACCACTGTTGAGGTGAAGATGGGACACAAATACTAGTGTCTTAATGCTGAGTGCATTTTGCAGCAACTTAGTAAGGACATAAAAATAGAGAGGGTCCTGTGCAGATGTGGGAAGAGGCAGTGGATAGACTAGCAGAAAGCCCCAAGCAGTCAGATAAGGAGCCCTCACAGAAATGCTGTGTGCTCTCAGGGGCACAGAATCAGAAATGGATTGTGCTCCCGGTGTGACTCAAACAGCCGCTTGTGAAAAATAGATATGCCTTTGTATAAGGCATTAGTCAAGCTTATTACATGTCTACTTGTGTTTGGGGTACCATTATCATGATTCATGTGTACATTTTACCTTATTCTATGTGAAGAATTAATCATACTTTCTGTGAAATTGAAATATATTTTTCAGTGATTTTTGATAAATAACAGGGAGTACATCGAGCCAAACATTGAGCAAAAATCAGTATTAAGCATATGCAAAATGTTAGGTGTATCAAAAGCAGAGGGCTCCAGCGTGGTTATTACCCCTGCATGACCCCACAAGCTGTTCTGCTGCAGTGTATGAGCCCTCTTCCTGTCCTCCTCTTCTCCTTATTGTACTGATGCTTTGCATAAAAGAGAAGAATACGAAGTTGCTTTCCATCTTGTAGGGATCAGCTCAGTGCAGTTATCCTTTTGTCTTTTCCTCAGGTTTGTACCACCATACTCAGAGATTCTTTCTAGACGTAAACAAATCTGAAGTTACAAGGATTTAATCTTCCCCAGCTTTTGCTGGCCCCCTGGGCCTGTTGTATTAAGGCAGCGCCTTGCTCTTCTGGCCATTTATTAAAAATACCATGGATGTTTAGATATCCAGGGAAGGAGCAGAAGGCTAGAAGGCTGTTACCTGAGAGATATTTTGGTGTGTGTGCATGTCTCTGTCAGGTTGATGGCTGCTTTAAGTACAAGGTAGCAAGGTGCAAGAGAGGTAAATTAGTAAGTGGGCAGCTTTAGGGCTGTTCTCACTTTGAAGGATGTCACTGTCAAGCACGCTGCCAGAAGTCAAGATCAGATTTTTTTTTTAATGAGCATAGGGTCAGAGTATGAAAAATACATTCTATTCCCCCAGAATATGCCCCCATACCAAAGACAAGCACATGTGAGCATCACCAGAGAGGTGGGTCAATACACAGCCTCCATGCTATCAGAGACCACTAGATTTGGCGTAAGTTCCTGTAAGTCCAGCCAGCCAGCATGAAGTACTGCAAAATGACAGGAAAGCTGCAGAGAAATTCCCTATAGCAACTCTCAGAATTGCTTTCTTTTGGCAAATGTCTGCAGTGCCTGAGCTCAGCAATTCCCCTCATCACAATAATTGATGCTGGCTCAAAGCTGAGGGCGTTAATTTAATTGTAAACCAGCAACATGACTCTAGAAGTTGCTTTTTTGTTGTTGGTTGTTTGTGTTTTTTTTCCCCCTTGTTCAGTAAGCACTGTTAGGATAAAAGAACTTTTCCCTTCAACTGATGTGGTTTTTCTTTAGCTGTCTCTGGCCTTTGGCCAGCAAAGCGAGGGAGGTGATTCTACTCTGCTCTGCTCTGGTGAGACACCATGTGCAGTGCTGCATACAGCTCTGGGGCCCTCAGCACAAGAAGGACATGGACCTGTTGGAGCAAGTCCAGAAAGGGCTGGAGCACCTTTCCTGTGAATACAAGCTGAGAAAGTTGGGGTTATTTAGCTTCGTGATGAGAAAGCTCTGGGGAGACCAGACTGCAGTGTTTCAGTACTTTAAGGCTTGCAAGAAGGCTGGAGAGAGATTTTTTGCAAGGGCATATAGTGATAGGACAAGGGATAATGGCTTTAAACTGAAAGAGATTAGGTTTAGATTAGATATAAGGAAAAAAATGTCCATTATAAGGGAGGTGAGGTACTGGAACTGGTTACCCAGAGAAGCTGTGGGTTCCCATCCCTGAAAGGGGCCAAGACCGCGTTGGATAGGCCCTGGGCAGCCTGATCTGGTGGGGGTTAATCAGCCCATGGCAAGGGTTGGAACTAGATGGGCTCTTTCCAGCCCAAGTCATTCTATGATTCTGTAGATTTCTTTGACTGATGTAATTCTCCATCATCTAGGAAATCAGCTAAGTGAAGGAGGAAACAACAAACATTGTGATGGATGTGGAAGGACATTTTGGGGGGATGCAGAAGATTTCTTGTTGTCTATGATCTTACTTGTTTTGAGGAGTTATTTTTGCAGGCTCTGAACATTTGTTGTTTGAGGTATCATATGATACCTTCTGGAATGATCCTTTCCCCTGTCTGCGGAGTGATGCCCAGAAGGGATTCAGAGAACCTGAGCAGTCAGGTCTTCAGACACAATGTGCAGTAGCAGGCTGTGTTTGCTTTTCTTGATGCCCTGTTACCATTCTTGCACCTTACTCTATTTTCTTTATTTTTATTACCCTTACAGGCTTTTTTTTTTTTTTTTTCCTGCATTGAGCACCAACTAGTGATGGGCACAAGAGACAGTCTTCTCAAAAGGCCATAAACTCCAGACTTCAGTATGGAGTGGCAGTGA